TTCCTTCCTTCCTTCCTTCCTTCCTTCCTTCCTTCCTTCCTTCCTTCTTTCCTTCCTTCCTTCTCCCCTCTCTATTTTTTTTTTAATTTCTTTTCTTTTGTTTTTTTGAGACAGGCTTTCTCTGTATATCCCCAGCTGTTCTGGAATTCACTCTGTAGGCTGCCTTGAACTCAGAAATTCACCTGCCTCTGCCTCCCAAGTACTGAAATTAAAGGCATATGCCACGTGGATTTATTTTTAGTTTCTTAAAGTGCCTCCATCCTGATTTCCACAGTCTGTTCTCACTAATTTACATTTACACCAACAATGCACAAATATTTCCCCTTTCTCTTCATCTTTGACATTTTTTGGAGGTCTTTGCATATTTTAGATATTAATTCTCTGTTGGTTAAGTGGGTGGCAAAGATTTTCTCCCATTAAGGAGGCTGCTTGTTTACTGATTGTTATTTTTTTTCTTTCTGATGCTGAACCCTTTTAGTATGATAGACTCCTGTTTGTCAGTTCTTGCTCTCATTTATTGAGCCATTGAAATCCTATTCAGAAAGTCTGCCTAGTCTTACATTTTGAAGTGTTTTCGCTCTAGTTATCTGGGAGTCTCAGGTCTTCTATTAAGGTCTTTGATTCATTTTGAGTTGATTTTGGCTCAGGGTGAGAAAGAAAGAGCGCTGGTTCCTAATGGCTGTGAAGTTTTCTGAGGATCCTTTGTTAAGGAGGCTGTCTTTGTTCCAGAGTTGGTTTTTGGCAACTTGGCCAAGGATCAAATGGTTATAGCTGCTTATGTTTATTTCTGGATCTTCTATTCCATTGTTCCATATGTCTTAAAGATTTTAACAGTGACTTTTCTGGTACTAGTTGTTTTTTTTTTTTTGTTTTGTTTTGTTTTTTGTTTGTTTTTTTTTTTTTGGATGCCTTTTTATTAATCAATTTCATTCCTTGTTATTATTATACCTAGGATTTTTCTATTCTTTTGATTCAATTTTAGTAGGTCTTTTGTACATGGAAATTGCATATATTTTTCCAGATTTCTCAGTTTATTAAAGTGTAAATTTTCAAATTAATTCCTAGTGAGCCCTCCATATTTCAGTGGTATATTTTGTTTTTCATCCTTTGTTGTCCCCAAGTCTATTAATTTTAGGTTTCTTTCTATTTCTTCTATACATATCTTAACTTCCATATGTTTATAAAGCTTTTCTAGTTTCTTCTGCAGTTGGGTCTAGTTTCATTCCATTATTAAAAGAAAAATCCACAAGATGTTCTCTTTTTTTTGGTATTTGTCAAGACTTATTTTGCAACCTAAAATATGATCTACATTGGAGAGCATTTTATGAGCTACTAAAAGGAATGTATACTCTGCAGTTTGTCATGTAACATTCTGTAGGTATCTGTTAAGTCTATTTGGTCTAAAATATAACTTTGAAGTTTTCTCATTGATTTTGTGGGGGGGCATTTCATGACAACTTAGCTATTGATGAACATGGAGCTACTGAAGCCACCCACTATGATTAAATTGGAGCTTTCCTGTCCAACTGTGTTTGTTTTATAAAATAGGGGGTATTGATACTTGGTCCACATATATTTATAGTTATTACATCCTCTTGACCTATTTGTTCTTTTTACTAATACGTGATTTTTTTCTTTCTTGCCTCCTTGAATTTTTGAGGTAGATATGTTTTGTTGCATACAAGTATTACTTCTGTTTGCTCCTGGATTCTATCTGTCTGGGTTATCATTTTTCATCCTTTTTTGTGTAGTGTGCTTATGTCTTTGACAGTGAGGTGTGTTTCTTAAAGGCAGCAGGCAGTTGGGTCTTAATTTCTGACCTAATTAGCTAGCCTAGGCCATTTAATGAGAGAACTAAGACCATTAATGTTGGAATTCTAATTGAAGGGTATTAATTAATTCCTACCATTTATTGTTTTTTTCCAAATGAGTGATTCTTTTCTAATCCTATTTGCTTATTTACTGTTCGAAAGATTTATTCTTACCTGTGCTTTGGGAGTTGTGTTTGTCTTTCTCTACTGTATATAAAACTTCTTGAAATAGTCTCTGCAGTGCTAGCTTTGTGTCATGGATTTATTTAGCTTTTACTTACCTTAGAGGGTCTTTATATTTTCTTTAGTTCTGAAGGTTAACTTTGGTAGATATTGTAATCTAGATTGGGTGGGGTTTTCTTCCATAGTTGAAATAAACCATCCCATTCTTTTCTGGTTTTTAGAGTTTCTGTTGAGAAATTTGAATTCTTCTAATAGGCTTATCTTTAAAATGAGTTAGCATTTCCCTCTGGCAACTTTCAATATTCTTTTTTTTTCTTCCATACTCTTACCTTTTTAACTGTAATATGGAGAACTTCTCCTCCAGTCCTGCCTGTTTTGGCTTCTAAATGCTTCCTGTTCCTGTATGTCTGCATCTTTTCCAAGATTGGGAAAATTTCTTGATATCATATCACTGAATGGGTTTTATGCCCTTAGTCTGTACCTCAGCAACTACTTTTACATCAAAATTATATAAATTTGTTCTTTTAATTGTGTCCCAAGAGATTTTCATGTTCTGTTCATAATTTCTTACACTTTAAAAAACTGTTATTTTCTGATTATTCTAACTTGTCAATCTTGTCTCTAGCCACTGAAAGTCTCACTTTTAATTGGTTTAGTCTTTTGATCAGGCTTTCCACTGAGTTTTTAAATTTAGCTTAATGGGATTTTCATATCCATGATTTCTGTTTAATTCTTTTTAAAAATTTGTCTTTTGAACTTCTGATTCATATTGTTTATTGCTTTCCTTAATTGGTCCAATTATTTTTTATGTATTTTCTTGGAACTCATTGGTATTTAAAAAGTCATTTTGTAAAATTCTTCATTCTAGTATTCCATCTTACTCATTATCTTTGGAGTCAATTGCTATAAAATTAGAAGCTTTGGAGGGAGTTTTGCTGTCTTATTTCCATATATCTTTTATTTTCATGTTGAGACTTGAGCATATGTTGGGATGGATATCATTCATGCTTTTATGTGAGAGTTTCTTTAAGGAAAATGACCTCTTGATGATGTATCTTTTGATAGCAGACTATTGTGAAATGTTAAACATTTCTCAAATTGGTTTTGTATTATAGTTTTCCTGTTACTTTTTTGTTATGGGTTAGTCTGTTTTGACACAGTACATATGCTGTAGACATGGTACACATACATATAGCCTATAGGTTGTGCTTTTCTCTGTAGGTTTCACAAAAATGGGGTATTTCTAATGCACTAGACAGATGTATTGAAGACATCAGAGTATATGAGGTATGTCTTCTGTCATTAACCCTCTAATCTTGTCATCAATATACAGTCTATAGGGATTTGGGAGTGACATATATTATAGGTTTTAATAGATATGTTATCCATTATTGGTGTTGTTTATTTCTGATATTTTTATCCACAGCAACTGTGCCTACTTGGATCCTGGCCTTCAGATGGACATTTTTATATCCCCTTTTTGTTGCATTGAGGAGTATTCACGGGAGTTAGACCAGGGCTGTGATTAGAGCACAGAGATTAGAGCACTGTGCCCTGACTACTTACCTGGGATGGGTGTGCAGCTCAGCAGCAGAGCACCTACTGTTATGCTCTACCCCCAACCCTGTGAAGAGGGGGAAGACAAATGGCAAGGTGGACTAATGAACCAGGTTGAGAAAACATATAAAACTCAACACCTACAATTCTCAACCTGAATGGTGGTGGTAGAAATAATATAAGCAGAAAATTTCTATGACATGGTAGGGCATTATGATTAGCAGAAAAGATAAAGGGAAGTGGGAGCTAAAAAGTTAGAGCATTCGAAAAGTGAAGGGAGAAAACAGGGAAAAAGAGAAAGAATAAATGAATTTGGCCATAGGAAAGAGAGGACGAGAAAGAGCAAATAACCCCTGTCCTAAATAATTGAAAATATAGAGACAAAAAGGAAAAGGAAGAGAAATGTATGTACATGAACAAGTCAGAAAAAATGAGAGTCTCAGTAAAAATATTGAAATAGATATTTTCTCCGGTGGGGTGTTGATGTGGGCAAGCGTGGGTTCTAGCTCTGTGTTCCTTGAAGAGAGCTGAGGCTGGGGTCAGTGTCCCTTCCTTTTCCAGGTTTTTCTTTACTTGTTGGTTGTGGGAGTGGTTTGGGACTACTCTGGTTGGAATAGTCTTGTTTTCCTGCTTTATAGTACAAAGTAACATGAGAGCAAAGTTTCTTCAGATGATAGAGTAGTTCAAAGTATTTCCAAGGCCAGGTTGATGGTGGGCTCCACTGGGGTCTGGGTCCCAGGCATCTCCATGAAGCCCCCCAAGGAGGTGAGGACTACAAACTGTATTGAATCAAGGAGGTACAGTGAATCTCCCATTTTCCAGAGTCTGTGTTTTCAAGGCCCAGTCTCTGCATATTTTGCACATTTGCACATTTCTCAGTCTTCTGACCTTCTTTGCCTGCTGAGAGTCCCCGTCTTAAGGGAAAAGCAATTCCATTTCTTTTTGTGTCTCTGACCCAAATCCTACTGGGGTGTGTGTGTGTGTGTGTGTGTGTGTGTGTGTGTGTGTGTGTGCTTGCTTCAGTAGCATTCTATTGGGACCCCTCTGGATTGCAAGGCAGAGCTTGGCTGGCAAGTATAGTAATAATCGTTGTGAGGTCTAGGGAAAAGGCAAATGTTGTGGTTTCTCCAGGCAGGAGTAACCTTCTCAATGGGATTTCCTATTTACTGCACCAGCCTTCTGTGTCGGGACAGGCAGAGCATTGCTGAAGAGCCAGCACACTTGGCAGTTCCCAGACTGCCAAATCCAGACTGCCTTTCTGCCCTGCCCGTGTCTTCTCCTCTTACTTCCCTCTGTTGCAAGGCTTTGTGGGCTCAGTTTTCTTTCTCTCCTCTTGTGTGTCCATGTTTATGAATGTGCAAGTGCACAAATATACACATATGAACGGTGGCAGGGGCAAGCTTAGGTATCATTCCTCCGGATATCTAGCCTGCCTGTTGAGCCGGGGTCTATCACTGTCCTGGAGCTTGCTGAGTAGGCTAGACAGGCTTCCAGCTCCAGGGATCTGCCTGTCTCTGTTTCCTCCATACTAGGATTACAAACATGCTCCTGTCTATTTTGTGTGTGGTTGCTGGTTGTCAGACTCAGGCCCTCATGCTTGCACAGCAAGCACTTGATTGGCTGAGCCCTCTCTCCAGCCAGGGTTGTGCCTCTTCTTGCCCTCTGGTTTGATAAGCAGAGGTTCCGGGTCTCTCCACGTCTCTGTGTGTCCAGAACTCAACTCTAACACATTCCTCAGTTACTCACTTCACGGAGAAGCTGTTTTATGGCTGTGTCAATTTCAAACCACAGAGGAGCTTAAAGGTGCTGTTTGCTTCTAACCCATCATTTTGGTGACAAACACTACCCCCCCCCCCCGCACTGGCTGAACTTTTGATTGCACAGCACTTTTACTTGTTTTTACACCTTAGAGCTATGCAGTTTTGTGTCTGGTATCTTTTTCTCAGTATTGTGCTCATGAACATCTTTGTGCTGTTGCATGTAGCGGCTGGTTATTCACGTCCATGCCTTCATCACACTGTGTTGCATGATTATACGGTATGTTTCTTAGTTCTGCTGCCAGACACTTGGGTAGCCTCCAGTTTGGGCAAAGGCTGCTGTGAACATTCTAGGACCTGTCTTTGGTGAGCATACATGCACTTCTATTGGGGAAACACTAAGGGATGGAGTTTCTAGTTCAGGAGTACGTGTGTAAAGCTCCGGTAAGCCAGTTCTCCGAAGCCTGAACATGATTTCTGCTCCCTCATGCCTTGCGGGAGACCTTGTTGCTCCATGTTCTAGCTAACCCTTGGTAAATACTGTGGCTTAAAACTGTGCCTCTTTGATGCCAGTGGATCCGGGCATCTTTTCAAATGTGTACAAGCCATTGGCTATATTAGTTAGTAAAGGGTCTGTTCAAGGCTTTTGACTGGTTTTCTGTTGATTATCTATGGGGTGGGAGGGGAAACCATTTTAATACTTCTCTCCTTTCCTGGAACATTCAGAATTAAATGTGCTGGTGCTCAGGGACCCCCACTTTCACCTCAGTGATGAGGCAGAACTGGCTTACTACAGACTCTGAGTCTTAGAGTAATGGAGAGGTTATGGGAGGGTTGGCCCTGATGCTTTGGGGAGGGGAAGCCTCTTGGCAGCTCTGATTTTGGTAGGCAAGGAGGCAAAGGAAGGATGTGAGAAGGGCTTAATGTATCCGGCAGCTGAATCAGGTGCAGAAACCATAGGGGTGTGTAGCTCTGTCAGCCCTATTTGCTGAGAGGAGATATCTCCCAGCTCAGCAATGGGGGAACTGCCATGCATGTGGCCCTCGTTTAGGGAAAGCCTTGCATAAGGTAGTGCCCCCCGTAGTCTTCAGAGCACCTTCCCAAGAGGGAATTAGTATGACTTACACAAATAAGGAACCTGCACCGGGGCAAAGAGAAGCCTTAGGAAGACCCCACAGGTGGCAGGTGGGAGCAGTACTGAGACCCATCCCATGTGCTTGGGGAATAACTCTCCTCACGCCTTCTCTGCTGCTTACCCAGGCTTCTATTCCTTACGACAAACTCAATTTCTTGATTGCTAACTGGAGACTTTAAAAGGAAAGTGAGGTACCACGGCTCTTGCATCCTATTAGAGCAGACTGCCCTGTGGTAGTCTGGGTACCAGGGGCCTTCCTTGGGCCCTGGTGGGTGCAGGAGGAGAGTCAAAGGCCCAGTTCCTGGGCTTTGCCTGCAGCTCTCTTATGGGTGCTGCTGGAAGTTCTCCTGGAGGGACTGTCAGCTCTTCCACTGAGATTCGTGGGTGCCTCCTGGAGCCTCTGTCACTGGGATGGACCAGGTGGCCACCTACCCTGTGTAGAACTCACATGCTTCCTCCTCTCCTTCACAGCGTTATGTCATGCCCAGACCAGCAGAGGGCTCCATGAGGAGTTATAGAAGATGCCCCGTGTCTCGGCTCCTTTGGTGCTGCTTCCCGCGTGGCTCCTGATGGTCGCCTGTAGCCCACATTCCCTGAGGATCGGTAAGTGCAGTCTGGCTCTGAGTGATGGTCTCATTGTTACCCTAAGTATACGCAAAGGGAATCACAGGCTCTGAGGTTCACTTTCCTGACCTCCCCGAGTGTGGCTGTGACAGATGTGGAGGTGGTGGAGGCAGAGGTGAACACAGATGTGGCTGTGGAAGTGGTGAGGGAGCACAGTCTGGTGGCTCCCATTTGTCCTTCCTGCCAGGCTCCACCAATGTAGAATAAATGATGCTTGCTTCCTGCTACAATTCATGACAAATTCAGTTTGTATATGAAGGGGCGGCTGTTAGCGACGGAGGAGGGTGCAAATGGCCATGGGTATTCCAAATCCAGGATTGGAGCTAAGCAGTTGCCTGTTTGTTTTGATTAGTTAAAGGAGAACCTAGAAAAGGGTGTTAAAGTTGTCTTTGGCAATTTGGATGATGTCAGGAGTCTGCTTGGTGATTGTAGTGCAGCCTGCTGGGAATGGCCTCGAGTTGCTGCTATGTGCTAGCCATGACCTGGCTCTGAGAGGGATGACAGGCCCACCTCAGCCTCTTCTCAATCCTTGTTGTTGTGGACAAGCAGGGTTGCCACTACGCCACTGGCACAGCTAAGGAGGGGGAAATCAGGTGCCTCCACCATCTGGCACAAGCAAAGCAGCCTAATCCACTGGAAGCCATGGCATCAGAGACCTTCAGACCTGGTGGTATGGATGAGGATACCATCTACTCCAGTACAAGGAACCTGTGGAATGAGGATGAGGAGGAGGGTGTCAGGGGTAAGGGGTATGTGTGTATGTGGAGTGTGGGTCAGCGTGGCATTAGACATCCAAATTCATGTGGTCTGATGAAGACCCTTCTGAGAGCAAGGCCTCCCTCGGCAGGTTAGATGTTCGTTCTCATGAGCAGGCTATGCAGATATCCCTGACTCCTCCTTCCCAGAATGGAGGTAGGTGGAGCAGAGTGGCTGTGCTCATGACTTCATCTTCTCTTGTGAGACAAAGTCTCACTTTATAACCTTGTCTTGCCTGGAACTCACTACATAGACCAGGCTGGCCTTGAGTTTATAGAAATCTACCTGGCTCTATCTCATGAATGCCAGGATTAAAGGGATCTTCCATTGTGCTCAGCAGGACCTGGATCATCAACATGAAACTGAAAGGCAGGAGGCCCTGTGTAAAATAAAGCCGGCTTAATGCTGGGCGGGAGAACCAGGACTAGCCTTACGGGTACCAGAGTACCATTGGCACTCCAGTGATGGTCAGGAGACCCAAGCATGGGCAGAGGCAGGCTGATAGTTCAGACCACAGTCAGGTCAAGCATCACCTGTCAGAGGCTGGGCCTGTGGGTCTCAAGCTGCTCTGTGTTGCCTCGTGGGATTATTTCTCCACGGGAATGCAGTGGCTGCTGATTGAAGTCTAAAATGTGGACAGGTGATTCAATTTTCCCCTCACCCTGCACTCAACTCCTTGTTCTGCTTGCTTTAAAAAAAGGCATTAAAAACAAAATCTTCCCTCCCTCTTCTTCATTCATTTCTATAGAAACTACAAAATCTAATTTAATTCTGCTTGGTGACAAAGCAAAAAACGGTTCATATCCTTAAGATGCTTAATTTATAAGATGCCTACAGTTATCTAGCATTTGTTTCGAGGTCCCCACCACCACCACCACCACCAAACGAGTAGATAAAGCTGTAACCCATCAATTTTCATTTGTCACTAATGAGAAGCAGAAAGGAATTGAGCCAGAATTACAGTCCCAGCCCCATCCCCCACCTTGCCTCTCTGTATTGGTGAAGCAGACGCTGGAGTCCACAGATCTCTGTCTTGATTGCTAGGTTAGAAAAGAGGGCTTTGAGGGGTCCCCATAGGCTCCTCCCATGCTTGTCTGACTCTGTGGCATCCCCTTGCTCATGCAAGTCCCCTTTTAGGTAATCTCTAGCCACAGATCCCACTGTCCATCAAGGTCAAACTGAGTTTGATATCCTAGAGAAGCCAGGAAATACAAATACAGCTAAGCTGAGAGAGAGAGAGAGAGTGAGTGAGAGAGAGAGAGAGAGAGAGAGAGAGAGAGAGAGAATGAGAGAACCTGTTTATTTTTTTTCTCTCCTTGGTTATCTTGGAGCTAGAAGCCTTGTAAAGGTCCCTGATGGTTTCGGGTAGTGAGGTGCTAATTACAGGGACCCTAGAGGGGAAGGAGATGGAGTAGGGCAGGACTGGGAAGAGAAGTAGGTCAAGAAAATATGTGTAGCTGTGTTTCATGGCAGGTAGCCTGCCACTTGGATGGACTGGGAGCCTTGCTGAGGTTCCTAGGTCTTTCATAGAAAGGGGAGGGACCAATTTTGCTCACCTTTTTGGGGGTCATTGCTACCACATGTGAGCTTCTTTGGGTTTTACCCCAGAGCCCCCCCCCCCCCCCCGTCCCCTGCATCTTCAAAACAGATGGCTGTCCGAGCAGGGCTGTACATGGCAACAGGGAATCTCGTTGATAAATTGTCCAGTCTGCTCCATCTTCGGCCCCACTTGTCGCTGGTGACAATATGGATGTTTGTAAAGAGGCAGCCGAACCCATTACCCTGCCTTGTGGTGGCTGTTTTTCATTCAAGTGAGGCACGGGGCGGGAGAGACAGCCAAATTGTCTATTACAGTGTCTGCTGTTTAGCTCCGAGTGAAGTTTTGGGTAAGGGAAAGGGATTTTATTTATGGCTGTAAGCCTATCCGCATAAATTTCCCAAACTCTCACATGTGTGTCAGACCCCTTCACTCATCTATCTCCCAAAAATGTTTTTGATTTTGCTCCTGTCCCTCTGGGCCCTCTGAGCGACGACTGGGGAGTCATAGTAAATAAATGTCCCCAAGCCTCCCCCATGCCTGCAGCTCTCCCCTACGTAAAGTGATCATGGCTGCTGGACCTCGCTATGACAGATGGTGAGGACCCATTAGCCAACCTGCTCATTTTTGCAGATGAAGGGATGTAGCCAAGGTCACATGGTCCTATGTGGTTGGCCGGAGAGCCTTATTCTGACTCTTATTTTGGTGACCGTTAGCCACCAGGGAGCATAGTCAGCTTCAGTTCTATGTGACATTTTCTCTTAGTTTTCCCTGATGTCTTCTATGTTAGCCAATGTCCTTGTCCCTGATGTTTTGAGCTAACTGATCGATGACTGCTTGTTTGCCTTGGCCATTCCTTCTACACTGTACTGTAGGCACGCTATGCTACCCACTACTGTCCAAGTGAGAGGGAGACTTACCCATGTTCTCTCTACCTATACCCTTATTCTGTGGGAACACTCTTCTTCCATCCTCACTGCTTAGAAAGATCCTCTTCCTCCCCACTGCTGCCTCTTCCCCTTGCTTCTCCTCCTCCATGTCTTTCTCCTCTTGTTTCTCAGTCTCCTCCTGCTGCTCCTCTTTCTCTTGCTCCTCCTCCTCCTCCTCCTCCTCTTCTTCCTCTGTCACATTTGGCTGAAATAGCTCTTTGCCTGCAAATCCTTTCTCCGGAGACAACAGCATCTCCTGTAATCATGGCAGTCCCAGCCAATGTATTATCTTACTTCTGGTGTGAAAATATGGAGAGATGGATAATTATGGCTTGTATGGTCTTTTGCTTTGCATTGGCATTTTCCCCCTTAGTGAATTACCAAATGCTAGCTGACAGAGGAGGAAACTATCAGAGACTTCAAAAGTTTGGTTCTGGTGCTGAAGGGAGTCTTGCTCAGCATGAGTGGCACTGGACGCATCTCAGGTTAAGGCAGCAATTGAATCTCTTTCCTCGTTTGAGGCTTTCCTACTCAGTGAAGCAGCAAGAGCTCAGATTTATTTGACAGTCAGCCTCACTAGGACCCCCAAGCACTTTACAGCTACAATTTTTTGACTTAGCTGATTTCCTCTGATGCGCTCCAATCCTTTGCAGAGAATGTCCAACCTAGAGCGTTCAAATGTTATAAAGATGAAGCTAATAGGAGAATTGGGGGAGACAAGTGGGAAGAATAAAACCACTGGTTACTCATCTCATCTGCTGTGTATTAAATCTATCGGACGCACCAAGACTCAAATCTACCACTGATGTCTTAGCCTTGTAGAGGATTTACCATGGGGCTTTTCGAGTAGTGGGCTCCCCTTGTAATGTTACCACATGATTGGATTTATGAAATTTTGGCCAGTGTGCAACTTTTCATCTTTATTCCAAATTGAATCAATGAGCAAGGCAATCAACAAGCTTCTCACAATAGTGACAAATAAAAACTGATGACCTTCTCTTTCATGCGTCACCTAGAGAGGGAGGAAAGCTTCTGGAACATGATCTTCTCTGGTGAGCATCTCAAGGGACTCTGTGTCTGTCTTACTCATGCCTTTTCTCTCAGGGCCTACCCTGGACTGCCCATGAGGCTTTCCCACCATCTGGTAAATGAATCATCTATGTCAAAATTTGCATTTTTGAGCCACCCTTTCAGTTTTCCAACACTCGCCATCCTAGGATGAGTCGACACCCGAGCACAGCATCCCACTTTACCGGTAGCCCACAAGGCGTGTGATTAGGAAAGTGTTGTGGTTTGAGTGTGAAATGTCCCCAGAGTGTGTCTGAACCCTTGGTTGCCAGCTGGTGATATTGTTTCAAAAGGTCATGAAACCTTTAGGAGGTGGAGCCTCACTAGAGAATGGGGGATGGCCATCGAACGAGGGCTTCGAGGCTTTATAGCCCAGCCTCCCTTCCTGTCCATTCGTTTCCTGAGTGTGGATGCTGTGCGAACCACTGCTTCATGCTCTTGCAGCCATGGTGGATTGCATCTTCTTCAGCTGTGAGCCAAAGTAAACCTTTTGCTTCCTGTCACTCACTGGGTCATAGTAGCAAGGCAAGTAACTAATATAGAAAACGAGTATTTTGTCCCCAAAGTGCGCATGTGTATCTGCAAATGCATGCGCATTCAGATGTCAGATGGCTGACTCTCTGCACCTTGTTTCTGAACCTACACAGTTTGGAGTGGATATGGGAGCCTGGCAGGAGTTGGATAGCTAT